AATGTTTGTCCCAGTTTTCCAGATTTCATGATGTTTATTTTCTTGGATGTTGAATGAAGGGGGCCTGCACAGGGGAGTGGTTGGTTCTTCTGCCTTATATTTTTAATTTTTTAGCGTCAAGGACCATTTTGGTGAAACTGTGCCAGGTCCCGGGGTCTAATGTCCCAGGTCCCAGTATCTTTTGCGGTTCCTTCAGAGGCTTGTTACTTCAGAGGCTGATTGAATCATCTGTGTGCAACTATTGCTTGAGTCCTTGTGAAATTGACATCGATGTCAGCTATCATTCCATGATGTGACCAGTTTTCTTTTCCATACTTCCACAGAGTTTCGATTCATTCCCAGGCCTCTTCCCCACTTATCTTCTCAACAATTTCTCTGAATTGATGCATATAGAATGCCTAACTCCATATCATTAACTTAACTTGCAGGATGGAGCTGAAAGGTTAAACATGCTCGAGGGGAACCTGGGTTTGAACACGCGGCCATCATCAAGTCTGCTGAACACAGATCAAACTCCAGCAACTTTTTGGGTCACTAATCCGGAAAACTACTTCCGGAACAATGTTGCTGCAGGATCCAGCTCATATGGGTTTTGGTTCAAACTTGATAGATCTCCTTCTGGGCCCTCTGAGGGGCTAGCTGGTACCATCTGTCCCGATTTGAGCCCTCTGATGCAGTTTGAAAACAACACAGCTCACAGCAACAACGTTTATGGACTGCGCATACATCCAGGCTACACTCCGTTCTCTGGGCTATGTTATGCTCGATCTTCAGCGATTGCAGTAAGTTGACTCTCCTTTGGTTCTCGGGTTGTGTACCTCAAACATGGACAGAAAAATTAGCAGTCACTGAGCATGCATAAGGTGCAATTTGAGAATGTGGGCACACAACAATGACAGTGCCCTGCCATCCAAGTTGTGTAACCCTACCTTCTTCCCCCGAATACAACGTACGGTCATTATAGCTGTATTTAGACTGGAAGATACCCCAAATTCAGCTATAATGACCGTACGTTGTGTTCGGGGGAAGACTGTAGTGACCTGCGGGATGGGAAGTTGCAGCCTCAATTCTGAGCAGTAGGGTTCCTCCAATTTGGGGAGGGGTGCAAAAAGGGCCAGTTCACGATACTTTCCCTTACTTTCCCTTTATCATTCTTTGTTTGTCTTCTCTCCATCTCTCTTCCCTGTCTTTATCCCCTCCTCCTTCACTCTGCCTCTTTCTCATAGTGTACAAGTGGGCTGTTATGGCTCACGGGGATGGGGGCAGCTGGCACTCAACTTCATCAATGTGGCGAGCCTTGTAAGGGGTAGTGCGGATTAAGGATATCGGGGATCAGGCTATTGGGACCTGGAAAACATACCCGCAACTCGAGACAATGCTGAAACACTGCCGGAAGATAGAAGACCGGCTGAATGAACTAATGTTTGCAATACCTCTATAATGGTGGATACTACTGGATAGAACTTTCATCTAAGGGTGTCTAACTGTCAAAACAATTAAGCAGGGTACCACATTTCAAAGAGGGTAGGTTCCCTGCACTTCAGACATAGGGTCTATGTATTCCCCTGTATGTCGTACGGGGGCTCATCCGTACGGCCGTACGAACGGCCGTTCGTACTCAGGCCGTACTATGCTGCATAGGGCACCAAAAATTCAGCAAAAAAAAAATAAAACAAATGGGACTATAGAGCTGCGTAGCAAAGCGAACATGTTCGTGCCCCTCCGAGTTCGGGCGAACGTGTTTGCACGTTCGTGTGTTCGTGCGAATGGCTCGTGAACGTGTTTTTTTTTTTTCTTTCGGTTTTTTATTTTTAACTCACGATTGGCTAAGAATTTGAACATGACTCCAAGGCAAAAGTTGCTTGTATTGTTGTTTTACATGACATCATTGACATGCATATTTTTCAGATTTTTCTGAGACAATTTTGTTTTTGTTTTTTTATAATATTTTTTATATTCACGTTCGGAGGGTTTTCGGCGCTCGTTCGCGTTCGGGCGAACATGTTCGTGTTCGCCTCCGAATGCGAACACGATGCCACGCAGCTATAGAGCACAAAACGCTATACAGCCCCATTTTTATTTTATTTTTTCGGTCTTTACTTTCATTTARAAAAAAAAAAAAAAACATTAAAACGCAGAAGAAAAAAAAACGAAATAAAAAATAAAAAAGCTTGATTGATTGATTGATTGATTGATTGATTGATTGATTGATTGTCAATTGATTGATTGATCAATTAAAAAATAAACAAAAAAAATGCGCGCATCAGCGCACGGCTGTGTCAGGGAGCGCGCGCTCCCTCTCTCTGTCTCTCTCTGCGCGCGCATGAGAGAGAGAGAGAGACACAGAGAGAGAGAGAGAGAGACACACACACACACACACACACACACAGAGAGAGAGAGAGAGAGAGAGAGAGAGAGAGAGAGAGAGAGAGAGAGAGA